ATGATGATGATCATCATCATAATAATAATAATATTGTAATGTGGATGATGAAGAAAATGCGATGATGAGTTGAATGTGGATGTTTGTCTTTCTTAACATATTCTTAAATGTGCCTCATTGTGCGTGTACGTGCATGTTTGTTCGATGCATTCATTCATCTATTCATTCATTTTTGTAGTCTGTGTAAATGTTTGTTTTGAGGCTTCAAATGGATTGGCTAAGCTGGGGGCGGGGCTGGGAAATGAACTCCCGATAATACTCCCGTTGGCAGTGAGTGTCTCATTCCAATCAATCAAGTCCCATTCCTGGCCTTTACGTGGCAAAGTTGTTTAAGCTATTAGGAGAGGACGATGGCAAGTAATTGGCGCCTTAACAAGTTGTTCCGGGCAGGTGGTGCTTGTTAGCTTAAGGCTGGCCATCCACCCAGGAAAAGGAAATTTTGAATTCAAACTTCCGCTGCCTTGCACCCACTTATGAATAAGTCTATGAAAGTAAACCCAGAAAGAAAATCACTTCTGGCATGTATGCAATTTTGGGAGAGAATCATCATCATCATCACACACGCCTAAAATATTTAAATCAGACAAACTTAAAATAGGCGAAACAGCAAACTAGCACCTGCAGCTGGCTAGCTAAAGGGCAATCCTGCTACACCAATGCGGTCACAGCCTCGGTCAAGCTGTTGCGCCAGCCTCGATTAGTTAGCCCGTCGCTACTTGTTGTGCCTGCTGTCCACGATCGCTGCGAAGAGAGGGAATGGAGCATGCCGCGCGAACGTGCTTCACTATAATCCATCCATTTGTGAAAATACTTGTCGGCTGAAGGATCTTCATGGAAGTTTAGAATGTTCCAAACCCCTCGGCAACAGGGGAGTGGCAACGTGCACAGGTAAAGGATATAACCGGGAGTGCACAGGCACAACCTACACGAGGGCGGCTTAGGTGTGACGGTTGTTCAGTGCTGAACCAAGGGCAACAGCATTGCTCGTATCCTGCTTAAGCGACAAAGGCAATATCTTCAATAACATACGCTTGCAGGCAAAAACAAAAACTATGACGGCCACCACTTGTGACATTTTCTTAGCTGATGACAGTGTTCTGGTTGCACATTCGTCTCAAGAAGTCCAGCTGCTGTTCAATCGTTTTCCCGACAGAGCCAAAAAATTTGGACTCACCGTTAGCCTGAAAAGACGGAAGCCTCATGTCAATTGTATCCTGTGTCTCCAGAGGCAGCGGCCGACGTGATGGCAGATGACGTTCTCATTAATTCTTTTATTGGATTTTGCTACCTTTATTGTTATCTGTCAAACACTTTTATTAAAGACGACGACGTCATTGCAAGGCTAGCTATGGCAGGGGATGCATTTAGGAAACCAAAACAGACGGCCGTAAAACAAACATAGTATATTTCTGTGCACCAAAGTTGCTGTTTACAGAGCAGTCGTGTCGTCTCCAGTTTTGTATGGATGCAAAATTTGGACCACGTAGCGTCGCCACATACGTAGGCTTAACCGGTTTTACATAAAATGCCTCCGTAAAATTGCACACATAAGATGGGAAGACAGGCGCCCAACACAAAGGTTCTAAAAATATGTGGTATTTCGGAACTTTTGGTCCAATTTCCTTGGACTGGTCATGTCGTTAGCATGCCGGACTCAAATTCCCAAACAAGTGTTTTTTGGACAGCTAGCCACTGGAAGCCGTTTCGCAAGCGGCCCAGTGCGGCGATATAAAGACAACTTGAAAGACAACCTAAAGAAATGTAGACTCAAACAAGGCTCCTTTTTTATAATGCTATTTGGCGTTTGGAGTGGAGAAGGAAATGCAAATTTGCGGTCGATGGATTTGAAAGAATCGCTGCACTTGATGATGCAAGAAAACGTCGCAAACGCGACGTGCCAAGCGGCAACCGCACAGGAGCGTGGGTCTGTCAGCTTCGTTCACGGGATGTCTGCCAAGAATTGGACTGTGGGTCTTCAAGTGTCACATGAAGACCCATCTATGACGCAATCCGTCGTACCAACAAAGCAGTCTATATGTTTGAAGGTACGTAATTGTTGTATTTATTTGTTGCATCGTAGCAGTGTTGTTGTGTGTCGTGTGTGATGCGTGTGAGTTTTTGTTGTGTGCATATTGTCTTTATGTCCAGTTATGTGAATGTTTTGTTGTACTACTTTCAAACATGTGATATATTTTGCAAGTTATTCATTCCATATATACAACCTCTTTGGATTGCCAAGCAACTCATGCATGCAGTAGGAGAGCCATCTGCAGCTCTACTTATGGTAACCTGGTTCAAACACTGTCTCAGTAAAAAATATTTCAACTCAAGGGGGGTGCTTGCATGTGAGTTGATCTGTGTTTAATTATTACACGTCAGTTACAACAACTTTGGAGGTTTGCTCTTCAGTGGAGTGTTCCTAGGAGGTTGACGGTGTTCGAAAATCACGAGGAAAAATGTTTGGCGTTTTTCAAAAAAATAGTTCTAAATTTTGATGGGCAAGCGGTTGGCGGTACACACACCACAACAAATGCGCAACTCACACGCAGCACTTCGACAGCACAAACGCTTACTTTAAAACAGTTCACGCACATCCTAACAGCTCATTGTTGCACACATACACGCAATTTGTGCATGCACACTCTAACAACAAACACAACTTATGCAAAACAACAAAACACATACAAATTTTATACGCAAATTTTATACGCAGCACACACAAAACTATATGCGTAATCAACACATGTGGAAAACATGTACAGCAAATACAAAACATTCGCTACACATTCGCGACGCCTATAGGACACTTACACACCACACGTTCACAAAAAATACATGACACACACAAACACAGACACGCACGCAAACACACGCGCACGTGCACACACACACACGCAAACATGAATTTTCACAATATACGCCATTATGCAATTTCGCTGGCGTGGTGTTGGCGAGAAATTAAATGAAACTGCTGGTCCGAAAGGTCAGTGTGGCCGAGATGGATGGATGGACGGAAGGATAAATGGAGGGAGGAAAAGATGGATAAATAAATGAATGGATGGATGAATGGATGGATGGCTGAAGAGATTGATGGATAAATAGATGAATGGATGGAAGGATAGAGAGATGGATAGATAGATTGAAGAACGAACAGATAGACGGACGTGCAGACGAATGGATGGTAGATACAAATTAGAGATGTATGGCGTATTGTTATTTTTCAACATCAGCTTTTTTCATGTCGTGATTGCGAGTTTTCTTTTGTTTGTTTATGTTTGTTGTTTGTATTTGTTTGTATCTGTTTGTTATATCTGTTTGTATATGTTGTATTTATTTTCATCTGTTGTATTTGTTTGTATTAATTGGTATTTGTTTGTTTTTGCTTTTATGTTTGTTTGTTTGTATGATTTCAGTATCTTGGAACATTTTGAATCTTTTGAAATTACGCGTCAAGCATTCTCAATTTTCAATGTCGCTTGCAAGCAACTGATTCCAAAAAAAAATTACAAAAACAAATTAAAAAAATGAAAACATAGACATGAAAATGTAAACGTAGGCATGAAAATGTAAACATAGACATGAAAATGTAAACATACAAACATAGATAAACTTGCGACAAAACATGGCGTAAGACATCACAATCACAACGCACAACACTGCATGCAGTTCGTCTCCTATTGGCTGGCATTCCATCGTTACAAAAATTAATAACGAAACAAAAATACGCTAAAAATAGACGCGAGTAAAAAAAAGAGCATAAAAATGAATAAATAAATTATGCCGCCATTTTTTCGACTCACGCAGGCGCGGTAATGAAGGTCATCTGAGATTCCCGGTCATTATTGATCAATGGACAGTGCCAGGAAAATATGAAAAATAAAAACTTATCAGAAAAAACATAGCGACAGAAAGGAAACCGTTGAATGAGGAATAATAAAAAGATAATATTTATGCCAACAACAACAGGACACCAATAACCACAACAAACACGGCAACAGCAACATCAACAGAACATCAACAACAACACAATAACAACATCAACACAACAACAACACAACAACATAACGACAATGACAACATCAACACAACAACAAGACAAAATATCCACAACAGCAGCAACAACAGCAGCATCATCATTATCAAGTTTACCTTATGCATTATATTAAAAACTCGAATCAAATTTAAGTAGAAAAAAGATGACGATGACGACGATGATGATGTTGACGATGATGATCATCATATAATTTTTGGCTGATGAAATGATTGCTTACTGTTTCGTAAATATTTTCCCCTTTTTGATATTTATTAATTCAATTAGCCAATCAATTAGCTAGTTAATTAGTAAAATTGTTCAATTGTCGTAATTTCCATTTATTTATTAATCTCATCGTAGTCCGGCGAGAAACTTTCGACAGTCTAAAAAGGCTGAAGAAGATCCCAGCAAGCCATTTAATGGATAAAAAAGTGAATAAACATAAATAAATTAATAAATTAATTAATTAATTAATAATGAACAAACAGCCAGTTGTCATGTTATGAACATTCAAAAGCATGTTTGTGCCAGCCTACTGTTACAAAATATGTTTGTTTGCTTTCTCAAAAAAGTTGGTATGTGTGCATATGTTTCAATATGTGTTTATGTGTTTGTGTATGTATTTATGTCTTTATGTGTGCGTGTGATTTTCAGCTAAATTATTTTCACCCATCTAAGGCCGTATGAGTTTTTTTTTGTTGTTTTTTAGTCAGGGTATTTTTATTTCGCTATATAAATTAAAACCTCAAAACTTACGAGAGTGTGTGCATGTGTGTGTGCATGTGTGTGTGCATGTGTGTGTGCGTGTAAGTGTGTTTGTTTGTGGTTGGTGTATGCCTGATCGCGTGTTAAATTGTTTGTAGGTTTACCTGTGGGTATACATGCGTGTGTGGGGTTTTAAGTACGTGCGTTAGTGAGATGCACTGTATATATGTGTCAATTTGTACGTGCGTGCAGTTAAATTTATGTGCGTGTGTGTGTGCGTGTGTGTGTGCGTGTGTGCGCGTGTGTGTGCGCGTACGAACCTGCAAGTGAGAACGGAAAATGAAAAACGTCGCATATCGTCCGAAAATAATGCGAAGGAGCAAACTATCGTAAATTAAAAACCTAATTATAGGGGGAAACAGAAAGACCATGATGGGAAAGAAAATAATAATAATAGTAATATAATAATAATAATATAATATTGATACTAATATTATTATAATAACAACAACATAAATAATAACAAAAACCACAAATAATAATAATAACAAATGGGGCTTAAAAAGATAAAAAATAAGAGCCATACATTTGTTCTACATTGTGAGATGATAAAAACAAAGAGTATAATTATAATTATATTTATTATGATGAGGTGGGTGGATGGTACATCGCATCAGTCCGATCGATGCGTGCCTGCTTTAATTATTTTTATTTGAAGTTTGCGGTGTGAATTTATCAATTTAAAAAAATATTTATGTTAGTTGTGGAGTTAATTATAATTAATTGTCTTTTTATTAGTGTATATCTAATTTATTATTGGCATTGCTAGTGGGGGTATCAGTAGTAATAACAGTAGCTAGCAGCAGCAGTGGAAGTAGTTGCAGTAGCAGCAGCAGTAGTAGTAGCTGCAGTAGTCTGTCGCTACTGAAATAAGCTATATAACAACATTTAAAATGATGTTGAACAATCTCAACAAATTAAAAACGTAAAATCTACAAAAAGCAGATGGCTTGTATGCCAAACAAGCTTGGGTGGAAATAAATTATCAAACCAAATACAGCAAATACATACAAACATACAAACAAACACACTATAACCGTGAAATAAAAAACATATTGTATGACGCCGCACAAAAATACAAACAGCTCATTAATTTTCTAAGCACAAGCAAACATGCAAACATACAAACATGCAAACATACAAACATGCAAACATGCAAACATGCAAACATACAAACATGCAAACATAACAAACAACTCGACACGAACATAAAAAACAGAACTCGCCAAGCCAACAACAAATGAACTACTAAATATACAATAACTGACTATGTAAATGTATGTGCACAGTATATATGTGTACGTGTATATATATATACATCGTGTGTGTGTATGTGTGTGTGTGTGTGTGTGTGTGTGTGTGTGTGTGTGTGTGTGTGTGTGTGTGGGCATAAACGCATGTCTGTGAATGTGAATGCATGTGCGCATGTGTTGTGTGTTTGTGTCACAGAGTTTGCTACAAAAAGTACTTGCAATTGCATACAGCCTGAAAACCAACGCGAAACATTAGGACGCACACACTTAAGCTCTACGGACATTAACGCAATTAAGACACGCAAATATACTTAATAATCTTACATACATACATACATACTTACACACACACTCTCACACACACACATACATACATACATACACACACACACACACTCACACATACATATATACATACATACATATATACCCATATATACATACATACATACACACACATACATACAAACATACATACAAGCATACATACAAGCATACATACACGCATACATACCAACATGCATACCAACATACATACATGTTTTGCGTTGTATAGAGGGTGAACAAGAAAGTTGCAATCATAAATTGCATATTAGTCACTAGAGGACCATTGAAGCTTATCTCGCATTTATATATTATATATGTGTACATTTATTAGTCTTTTATATCTCTATATACAATATACGTTTAAAAGTATATGTATGATAAAATTTGATATATATATATATATTATATGCATTTAATATATAATATAATTTTAATACAGAAGATAATTATCTACATTGTGGTCAATTTTTATAAATTTTGATATTGGTTGTATGAACTATGTGTATACACGTACACACATACTAACACGTACACACATACAATTAGATATACATACCGATACATGTGTATGTATGTATTTATATACATACATGTGTATGTATGTATGTATTTATATACATACATATGTCTATGTATATGTGTTTCAACTGTATGTTTGTATTTCGCACTGTACATCGTATGCGTGTGTGTCTGCTTAGACATCGAAGAACTCCGTGAGATGTTAGTCGTTTGATTGAGGAGTCCGCCAATGACTCTGCGACTTTTTTTACAGCGTAATGTTATATGAAGATTAAATGCCATAAAACTTCAACTGGGCTCCCACACACAAAAATTAAACACGTACACTAATGCGCACAGACATACAAACACATACACACCTACTACATACAAACACATACACACCTACTACATACAAACACATACACACCAACTACATGCAAACACATACACATCTACTACATGCAAACACATACACACCTACTACATACAAACACATACACACACACACATACAAACACACATACACACACAAATACAAACACACATATATGTATATATATATAAGGGCTTTCCATATATGCAATGTATATAATGTGTACATAAGCATTTATAATGTTATCATAGGTTTATGTGGGGACCCTGGAGATGTGGCAGACAGGCAAATTGCATAGATTCATTCATTCGTTCATTCATTCATTCATTCATTCATTCATTCATTCATTCATTCATTCATTTATTCATTCATTCATTCATTCATTCATTTATTCATTTATTCATTTATTCATTTATTCATTTATTCATTTATTCATTTATTCATTCATTCATTTATTCATTTATTCATTTATTCATTTATTCATTTATTCATTTATTCATTTATTCATTTATTCATTTATTCATTTATTCATTTATTCATTTATTCATTTATTCATTTATTCATTCATTCATTCGTTCGTTCGTTCATTCATTTATTCATTCGTTCGTTCATTTATTCATTCATTTATCCATCCATTCATTCATTCATTCATTCATTCATTCATTCATTCATTCATTTATTCATTCGTTCGTTCGTTCGTTCGTTCGTTCTTTCATTCGTTCGTTCGTTCGTTCGTTCGTTCTTTCATTCGTTCGTTCATTTATTCATTCATTCGTTCGTTCAATCATTCATTCATTTATTTATTCATTTATTCATTCATTCAGTTATTTATTTTTTATTTGTTAATTTAGCCGCACAATCGACTAATCTCCTGTCAATCTATCTTTTTGGTTGTCACCATTAAGTATTATTAATAATTATTATAAATTATTATCATTAATTAAAAATAGTGCCATCAATCATGAACAATTTAAATAATTATTTTATCATTATTATTATTTATATTATTATAATTATTATAATTTTTATTATAAAATTATTATTTATAAGAGTAAGAAGCAGACGGTGATGGATGGTGTGGTCGGTGGTCAGTTGTATGGCGTCTGACCATTATGTGGTCGGCTGGGCCTGGAATCTAGCTAGTCACCGCTTTCTAATCTCCAATGCATCCGCAGAACTAAATTTTAAATGAAATTTTACTAAATTGAATCAAATTAGAATAATGAATAATTAATTTTCGTTATTAAATTAAATTAAATTTTTATCGTCACCACATCATCATGACGATGAAGCCATGATGATGTGATGATGTAAACAACAGTGGAACGTTGATAATATTATATTATAACTAATAAAAATATTTTAAAAATTAACTCAAATTAGTAACAGAAGAAAAATGGAGTTGGTTATTACAACTTCGTTTCAATTCAAAACAGCAATGGCTCTAGCTTAACAGATTCTCACAACATATATGTTTTTTATTTTTAAATGGTTGATTTTTGTTATTTAAATAGATGGCTGGCTGGTTAAACTCAAGTTGGCTGCATCAGTTAGTGCATTTGGTTGAGCGTGTGT